AATCTTTTTGCTCAATAGTACAGGTCCTCTCATTGTGAGTGTCATTAGAAGGTACAAGAATAGCATGAACATGAAGAAATCCACTGAAAATTAAAGTTTATGGAGCTGCGATTATGGAGGACGATAAGGATGAATAGACAGGCTGAAATATGAATTCGTTAAAAACACTGCTGGTCAGACGATTGTGTCGTTGGCCCTAATAATCACTCAGTGATTTGCTTCATAGAGGATAGTTACTAACCGAAAAAAGCATATTTATGTCACGAGTGTTGAAGCGAACTAGAGCCATTTGAATGTCACCAGTGTGTGAACTGGTGACAAGCATGACGTAAGACTTCTACTGTTCCACATATTGAGCGTTGAGGAAAGCGGGAAAAGAATACAATATTGTTTTTCTTTGTGCCTTGTCCTGCGACATTAATGTAAGTTTATAGGAGCATATCAAGCGCCAAGAAATAAATATTCTCTATATGGCAGGATACCACGGCAGATGAGTTAGCAGGTGTATAGTATGTATTACCTGATATCTTTGGAGCATTACAAATGATGATGTTCATTGATTGTGCAATCACTGAAGTTGTGGATGTGGTTGAAAAGATATCCAACATCTGTTCAAGAAGCAAACTTCTTAAAAATTGCTGAAGTATCGTCATTTTAGTCATGGTGTCCAAAATTACCCATACTCGAAGTATCGAAGTTGAAGTGTCAGAAAATACAATAATATGACAAGGCAATCTCCAAGAAAATTGCAGCAAGTATTCATATATTAGATGGTTTCATATTTGATGCACTCAGCACAAAATTAACGAGAGACTTCCTGTTACAAAGAATGGATTCTATTAGATTTTTAATAGACATAGCATTCTGTAAGGTATAAGGTCACATAAAAATCTTCTATTCATTGGTGATGCACTTTGACCAACACATTATCACACACACATCATTGTGCTCTTCTTTTGAATGAGGACAGACACATAGTAAGTGAGAAAATGATAAACGTAGTCCAAAGTGTTCCAACAAAAACCTCTGTGTATTTTTTTTCTCGTGTTATGGTCACATTCTTACCCGTAATATTTATTTTGTATATCTTTTATCTTTTTTTCTGCTATCTGTGGATGAAAAATGTGAAAGGTTATCATTTACGAATAATCATTCGTTTGTTGTGTTTTACCATCTTTGTCTTGCAAAATACCTTCATTGATCTAACAAAAATATTGTTGAATCAAGCGAAAATTTTAGCTTGGAAAATTTTCAAGTGAATGGATAAATATAAAGCTACAATTGGAATTCTATTATTATCATTCGGATGTTATTATTATTTTCAAACCAGTTCAACAATTAAGCAGAATGATGATATTCTTATTCGCGTGAATTCTACAACTCTAATTTTCATCATATTTATCATTGTTCTTTCATTATTATTTTTAAAATTTGTATGTTTTAACCATCAAGACAACAATAAGAAAAAAAAAGAAAACATTGTACAAGAAGAAGAAAAATATGTAAAACGAACAAAACGAATGATTGATCGATGGAGTGGAAAACAACAAGAAATTAATCGAAAAAATCCATCGACTGAAATGATTCTCAATAGAAATTCTGTTACTCAGAATTATTCATCATTTTATAATGAAACATCTAAATCTATTCCAATATTTGCTGAATGTGAAGTACTTGTTGTGGGTGGTGGACCCTCAGGAATATCAGCTGCCTTAGCAGCAAAACGAGCTGGAGCTGATACTATCCTTCTGGAAAAATTTGGTTGTTTTGGAGGAGTTATTACAACGGTCGGCATGGAAACAATCGGATGGTATAGATATGAAGGCACAGTTGAATCTCAAGGAGGAATTGGAATTGAAATGGAAAAAATTGCTACGAAAATGGGAGGAACCATAAAATGGCCTTATAATGATAGTCAATGTTTAGATGCTGATTATTTCAAAATTGTTGCAGATCATCTTCTAACTGAAGCGGGAGTACGACCTATTTTACATTGTTTAGCAGTAGAAGTTATGCTAGAAAATAATAAAATTATTGGAATTATTACAGAAAGTAAATCAGGTCGGTTAGGAATACGAGCAAAAAGAGTTATTGATTGTACTGGCGATGCAGATATTGCATATTTATCAGGATGTAGTTATCGTAAAACTCCTAAAGATGAAATGTTAGGAGTTAGTACAATATTTTCTTGTTCAAATATTGATAAACAACGATTTTTAAAATATACTGAAGACAATCCAGCTACCTATGCTGATTGGGGTGGGTTTTGGACACAAGAAACATCTGGAAAAGAAAATCAATTACGAACTCCATATTTAGATAAAGAATTTCAAAAAGCAAAAGAACTTGGTATTATTCCAAAAACATCTAATATTGGTGGATCATGGTCATCATTAACCGATGCTGGTGAAGCAACAAATCTTAACTTAGTTTATATGACGAATTATGATTGTACAAATGTCACTGAATTAACAAAAGCTGAAATGGAAGGAAGAAAAGAAACTTTGCACGCAATCATGGCTTTAAAACATATGGTTCCTGGTTTTGAAAAAGCGAAATTAAGAAATTTTGGTATGACACTTGGTTGTCGTGATTCACGAAAAATTATTGGCCATTATAATTTAACAGGAGATGATGTCAAAAATCAAGCAAGATTTTATGATAGTGTTGGCATATTTCCAGAATTTATTGATGGATATAATATTATCATTCTTCCTACAACTGGACGTTATTTTGAAGTACCATATAGATGTTTGTTACCGTTAGAAATCGATAATCTTTTAGTTGCTGGAAGGTGTGTTGCTGGTGATAAAGTTTCTCATGCAGCAATGAGAAATATGGCCGCTTGCACAGTCACAGGACAAGGAGCGGGTGTTGCTGCAGCAGTATCGTTAAAGCAAGGTGTTACAACAAGTGAAGTGGATATTGAATTAGTACAAAATGAATTAATGCGTCAAGGTGTGAGAATACATTAAAAGATTCAGCTGTGGAATCTAAAAAAAGGAGTGTCTTTCTATGAAGATAAACTTCATATTGTAAACATTATCTTTTCTTATGTCTAATAAATTCAAAAATAACGAACAATGTGAAAATGAAATGCAAAAAAAGTAGAAAATGATTCATTGTATAGAGGACATTTAAATCAAAGGTACTTCTCTATATAACAATCGAAAAATATGTGTACAGAAATTGATTGATTCTAGGGCATCTACAAAAAAACGATTTCCCAACAATGTCTGCTCAACCGGCTTCAAATGCAATATCAGTATGTAGCTATGTACGATCTTAGATGGCTAAAACCAAGGCAATATAGACTTGAATTCGATATTAATAAATTGATTTTGATCTAATTTGTTGTCATATTTGTCGTAATCAACTTGGGTTCTTAAAAACTCTTTATTTCATGTTTTGCATTTTATTGTTACACTCAAAAGTACCTGTGCAGAAAAGTCATAAACATCTTGATTCATGATTATCATTGAGAACGAAAGTATAATGTTCCACTCATCACTGTAGTTGAAGATAAAAGAGCAAAAGCATATGATATTAATGATTTATATTCAGCTCTTTCCTTTATTTCATTTAGAGACATGATTACAGAGATTATTTTTTTTTGTGGAATTTCGATGAAATACATCGCTGAAAATTAGAAACAAATCTAGATCTGTTTTTTAATGTATTTTTATCTTTTTACTAGTTATTGTCTGACGTATGCGTCGAGCAGTATTTCATTCATGACTAAGATTAAGAATGTTGATCACTCAAAGAACTAATGATTCATCACGCTGAGTTCATTCTTATAATTTCTCATCAATAATTCTTTCTATGTTCTATCGGAAGAAACAAAGGTAACAGAAGTATCCAAATAAAGAAAGCCATTTTTACAAAACCATCTTTAAGAAAGCTCTATACATTCTTTGAATATTCTCCAGTGTCCTATTGATGATCAGTTTTAAATACATTCTGATGGTCGATTAAATCCTATGTATTCGAATCTCATGTGCATGAAAGTGAATGTGCGAATGATGATTTTTCCTCATCTCTTCCATTATGCCTCCATTCTCCACTCTAGAGTTCAATTGTTTCAAACGTTTTGTTGATTTTAGAACATAGACTGCCGTATATAGAGAATAAAAGATATTACAAGACGCCCGTATCCAATATATGAAATACTTTTCTGTCTTGTTATAGGAAATTGCTCATACAAGAAATTCTTATATAAAATAGATTCGAAACAAAAATAGAATAAAGTATCATACTTGTTCTATACAATTTAGTCGATTAACTAGATCGTATTACATTGGTACATAAGTTCTGCACGTTTTTTTTTCGTATTTTAGGCAACTTTCAAGTTTTATATCTCGTGATTAGAAAGTGATAGAGGTGTGAAATTTTTAAAACAGATAGAAGTCATAGAGACCTATTTATATGACAAATTTCAGACCTCTACCATATTCTAATCATGAGATATAAAGCCTGAAAGTTGCCTAAAACATGAAAAAAAACGTGCAGAACTTATGTGTCAATGTAATATTTCTGTAATATCATTGATTTGATCATGTGTTATCTTTTGAAAGAATATAAACTATTGTCATTGAAGCAGTATCGTTAAATTAATATTAAAAATAATTTGTTTCAGACAACTGGCAAGTATTTTAAAAATAATTTACCTAAATACTAATCTTTCTTAACAAAGAACAAATTATCGTCATAATACAGAAAAAAAATCATATCTTTTTCATGTTATACAAATAATCAACAATGAGAAAAACTACTCAGTAAAATATTCATGAAAATAAATTATTATATTTCATTTAGATTTAAACTAAAGTAAATAATTTTTTGTAAGAGAATTCTATATTGAATATACAAATGAAATACAATTTGACGTTGATAAATCATGAGTAACGATAAAGTACCGTGACGTCAATGTCTTAAGATACCACTATGTTTTTACATTCGTACATCACTATCCTAACAACAGCAGGAAAGTAAATATCGATAATCTTAAACAAATTTATGAAAAAAGAAACAAGAAACAGTTGATATCAACTAAAATTTATATGGAATCGTGCTATTGATTCTGTGTTTTATCACAATGAAGATGAGACAAATGAAAGACAACGTTTAATTTTTCTCTTTTTTTTGCGTATCATAGAAAATGAAAATGAAAGGAAAGAAAAAGAAGTCATTGGAGTCACTAGAAAAAATGAGGTGAACAGGTACAAAAGTCGAATATATTCATTGAATAATCCATATCCTGTAAAGTTTTTCTCAAAATAATATTAAACCATTCGATATTAATCTTTGTTTAAATGAATTTCTTATCCAGTTCGTTTCCTCAGATTATAGTTTCGTCTAAAATGATTGTTCTCATGACGTAAAGAAATAAATTGTAAAAAAAAAGAGCATTTCATCTTCATATGACATGATTAATGAGACAGCAAGACGATGTTTTCCACTGAATATGTTAGATTAATTCTTTTCGAATAATTCCTTTCAATGCAAAATATCTTCTTAAACGCAAATAAATAGGTTATTTGCTGAAAAATTCAATAAAAGAAACTTCTTTCATTGTTTCCATCAACAAACTACATCATAAAAATGAGTCTTAAGAAAAAATAAATTCAAGCTTTCTTTCATATATTCTACGATTTTTTTTATCTTGCTAGTTTATTATCAAAAAAAATATAAAATAAAACAAAAGATAGGATAACTACTTTTTGTAATGATCAGATGTTCCTTCACCAACTTGTCCTCGTGTAGTCTTATTGGTACTAGTTCCTGTTTGAGCTTGAGTACTAGAATTACCACTTGTTGCGCTAGAAACTTTCGCCTCGGGTAATACTTGTCCAGCATAGGCAGACTTCACGTCTGTTGCTCGAAAGTCACTGTCTAACTGATCGCTTGTTGAACCAGTTAAAACCGTTTTATCTGAGTCGTTGTTCAATGAACCACAATTCATTTTTGTTTTGTTTCCGCTTGATAATTTTTCTTCAATCTAAATATAAGAGAGGTTATCAAGTACAAAATCTTTCACTGATGAAATCAAATGAAATATATGAGTAAGTTACCATTCTTATTTAACTAATTCATATCTAATATGAAAAAACATTTTATACTGAATAGAATCTTGTAAACGACAGAGAGAAACAAAAGGAGAAAAAAAAAGAACGAAGAAACAACTATATGTTTAGATAAAAATGGAAAATTTCGAAGATTTTATATCAAATTCTCTTCCCAAGTATAATTTTTATTGATTTTGTTGTAAAATTATTTTATTTGAAAAATAAAAATTTTAACTCTTACTAACATATTAAGAGTACAATAAAAGTCTAATTTTAAATAAAATCAGATCTTCTCTCTTTTTCTAATCGATCAAGAATCCTCAATCAAACAAGCAGCGTTTGTAAATTTACAATAAATATGATAAACATGTGTATAAACTATAGAAATTAGTAAAAGACTATTTCAATTATCTGAAAAAATCCGATTTTCATTTAATAAATTTTTTTTTCATATTTTAATGTAATGATGAAAAAATCTTTAAACAATCGGAAATAATTCTATGCAAACATAAAAATATTTTTTACAAAAAATATCTCATTTTATCAAGTAAAGTAAACAATACTTTAACTTCATATTATTAAAACAGAATATCCGAAATTACAATAATAGAATTTAGAAGTTTTCCTAATAAATCAATCAGTTACATGAGAAAAGTCTTCAGAAACAGAAATATTTTATAATTAAATTCGACGAAAAAGTTCTTTTGTTAAAAATAAATAGAAACAATACTTTTTTAAACAACAAAAGAAAGTACTATAAATTTTTTTTAGAATAAGATTTGTTGGTCTTTGATGGCAAAGTTGTCACAATACAAAGAAGTAAAGGAAATATAAACGTATAATTTCTTTTTGCTTCGATACACAAAAATATGATGAAGTCCAGTTTGACATGTTTTTTTCTTATCTAATATTGTTTTCTAGATATTGAAACAATTTTTCTATGTATTCATTGTATATTCTTATATCTGAGAATTTCTAGTCTTTCGGTTTCCTTTTATCTAACCATCATTAAACTATGGTAGTAAATAAATGGCTAAATGAGAATTTTTTTTGCTTGTTTCTTCAATGTTTTCATGATGAACAATCAAATAAAAAAAGAAAATTCTTACAAATAAAAGAAAGGAAATCTAACTACTAATTATGAATGATAAATATTGATTTATGTCAAACAAGATTATTTCAAAATGAAAATTGTTAGTTAATAATAAAGTATTTAATTTCTTTGGATTGGTTCTTGTCTACTTCAAAATGAAAATAGATTCTTTATAAATTATAACAACATTCTATGAAAAAAATATAAAGACTTTCATTAGGATTGTCTTGAAATTTTTCTGTTTCTTTTGATGAGATTGCAAAAAATTTCTTATATCAAAAAATGATTAAATGAATATAAAAGTAAATATTTTAAGAAGAATCTTTTAAAAACATTAAACAGATCATTTCCAATATTTATACTATACACAATTCGTTGTAGAAAAAAAAACCATACGGAAAGTTTATCTTTGACGTGGTTTCATTTTCACAAGGATGTTGACTGGACATTATTTTGTATTCAAATTTCTTTCCTTTTTCCTTATTTTGCTATCATTACTACAAGGCAACAATCTATCTAATTGTTTGTTCGTTTCTTTCCTTTCTTCATCTTGTCTTTCGTTTAGTTCGAATCATATATGTAAAATCGAAATGCAATACAAAGAAAGAAACAGACAAAAAACAAAAAAAAAAGAAACAATTTATCCAAACACGTTCTTACATTCTTTTATTTCTACTATTTCATTCTTTCTAGTTGGAAGTTTATCAGCTGACAAAGAAACTATAATGACACCTGGCATTAATGATTTACTCGATCCTTCCGTATGTTCTTGTTTTTCTACCTCTCATCACAATATGATCTGTAACAAAATAAAATGGTCTACTTTATCAATTAGCATTGCTTTAATAATCATTGTAAGTCAATGAAATTTATATATATATATATATAAACTTATTATATTTGTTTTATTTCCTATATGTATAAATATATAGATTGTCTATGCAACTAGTGGATTATACACTTTGATTGATATAACAACATTAATGTCGATACAGTTACATAATGCTAGTAATGGTATATCTAATTTGATTAAGTTTATATAATATACTACTAACAATATGTTTTGTTTCTTAGAAACATTTCTATGGCCTATTATATCATCTCCAGTGACGATTATTTATGATTGGATATCAGTTTGTGTCTACTTTACTATTGCAATTTTTATTATATTACTTCTTTGTGCTATTCAATTAGTAAGTTTTTCTTTTGCTTTGAAAGATCAAATTGATAAATGATTGACGTTATTTTATTAAGAATAAATCATGGCTTTTATTTCTTTGGTCAATATTAATGATTTTTATGTTAATTATTGATGGTATTGTTACTATATTTTGTCTTCGACAATATCAACAACAGGTCGATATATTTTCTTTTAATAATTTCGATATTGAATTTAATATTTCCTCATATCATTTAGAATTATCGACCATCAAAACAAGTGAAAATTCTATTTTTACTTATGATTATTCGTCTCATTATTTCAGTTAGTTTAAAAAACGAATCATAAAATAAATATATATGAATGTTCTGGTTTTTTTTTTCTTTCTTATTAAGTTGTGTGGTATTTTCATAACTATTTTTCATTATCGTCAATTAAAAAAAGTTAAATCAGAATATTTAAATAGACAGGTTAGTAAAATATTAAATATGATTTATATTTAATTTATATTTTACTATTGTAGAGAATGTTATTACGTTATAATACTGAATGTACATCTCCATCATATGATAGTTCATGGACACGTTCTGTTGGTTTTTTGAATCCATCAAAAGATACTAATGATGATCATTATATACTTGATCTTCCATCATCTATGTCATTAACGAGAACAAAAACTGCTACTATTCAACGTCATCAAAAATCAACTATGGCTCATTCACGAAAATCACTTAATTCACATATACAAATGACAAATTATCTTCATCAACAACCCATAACTGAATATAATGAACATTTTCGATATAATATACCATTACAAGAAAGATTTTATCAACAAAAGATTACAGCTGTTGAAGAACTCTAAAAAAAACGAAAATATATGATCTCTTTGAAGATTGACTTTTAGTTTAGCATAAACTTTCTTTTTTGTTTAATGTTTATAAATATTATTATTGAACAGTTATTATTATAATTATTATTCTTTTATGAAGTTAAGAGACAAATGAATGTCTACTATAATTATTGTCAAGTCTAGAACAGATTTTCTTTTTTTTCCGATAGAATATTTTTCATTATTGATTAAAATCGTTTATTAACTTTGAATTAAAATAAGGAAAAGTAGATCATAATAACAATCTTGTCATACAAATAAAATAAAAACTTCTTCATATTGTCAACAAATACATTTCGACTGTATTTTTTTCTTATATTTCAAATATGTTAAAATAAACTTTCAGCTGAAGGCCAAAAATATTGAAAATTTTACATATCGATTAAAATTATTTTATTTTTTTGAATATTTCTTATGATAAAAAGCTAAATTTGTATTTAAATGAAATTGAGTTTCTATTATTGACTCACTGACTTCTTTGAAATATATATTGATCATCATTCATATTTTAAGACACACGCACACACAATGAAAAAGCAGAAAATGAAAAGAAAAAAAAAGAGAAATAACATAATTAAATGAAAAAAAAAAAGAAAAATAGAAAGTTAATTATTTTCTAATATATATTGCTATTGGATTGATGCTGTTTGTTTCTTTGTTCTGCAGCAACTTGTTCTTCTTGTTGAAGACAATCTGAAAATGCTTGTAAACGTGTTTGAAGTTCATTTAATATTTGTTGACGTTGTAATAAATTAGCACGCATATCATTAACAAATTTTTCTTGATCATAATCAACTGTATCTTGTGCTTGTTTAATAATTGTACGTAATTGTCGTGTAAGTATTGGTTCTTTATGAGTTAAAATTTCTTGACATGTATCAAATAAAGCTTCTTCATATTCTTGTAAATGTTCAACTTGTGCTGCATATGATGCTAATGCTTCATCTTGTTCATCATCATCATCATCATCAAAATTATTTTGTCCGTCATTTGACGATGAACTTGTACTATCATTTGATGAAGCTGAACCATCACGATGATGAGGATAATGATGATGTTGATGATGATGACGACGTTTATTTTCTTTATTATCATCAATTGGTAAAGCTAAAATAATATCATAAAAAAAATTAATCTATATGATTATTCAATCAAACCTTTCGACACATGATCCATTTGTATTTCATCATCTTCATTTGATGGAGTTCCAGGACTATCACTTGCTCTTAATTCTTTTACACGATCAGCATAACGTAATGTATTCATAGTATTTTCTACATCGGAATGTGTTGGTGAAACCATTGCAATCATACAAACTTTTGATTTATCACCAATAAATGAATCACGTAAAACTTTTGTTAATGTTGAACCACGAAATGGTACATGAGTACCATCACCACGACCCAATGCACGAATACATTCTTTAAGTGCTAATAAAGATTTATTGATTTCTGAACCTTCCATACGTTGAAGACGATCACCACTTGCTGTATCTTTACCACGTTCAGAACCAGCTAAATCAATTAAAGACATTTTACCAACTTCCTTTATTACACGACGAGGTACTGCAGGATTATTATGATTATTATTACGGGATGATGATGATGTTGATGATGATGAAGATACATTCGAATGAATAGAAATAGGTGTTGAAGTTTTTAAAATAATTTGAAGAACAGCATGAGATCGAGATGAATTTGAATTAGCAGCTGTTGTACCCGATGTTCGAATACTCATACCATCTAAATGATATGAAAATCATTACAATGAAAAGAACTATCAGTAAGATTTTGTTAGAAAAAAAATTAAACATATTTTAAATTTAATCATACGCAACACGAAATAAATCATATTTTCTTTTAGTGGAATGAATATAAATTTACACGAATATATAGATTCTAATATCACATATTTATTGATACAATGTTCTTGATCAATCAATCAATGAAAAAAATAAATTAATATCTGTTTTTTTTTTCTTTGTAATTTTAATGCTATTTAATTAATTAATTTCTATTTTTTCAACCAAAATGAATCAATAACTGTATTTTGTCAACTTATATAATATGAATTTACTCAAAAAAGAAACAGAAAGCTATGATGTTCGATTTTAAAATTCTTATAAGCATATAAGAAAAAGATTCGAAAAGATAATCAACTAGAATTTTTTCGAAAATCGATTTTTCTCGTTTCACTCTGATTCCTTCAATAAAATCGCAAATTTCAGTACGACAATATTAAGTAGTATTGATTTATTTATATTGTTAACAAATATTTTTGTTCCATGCATTATCCGAATTATTACAAGAGACTTTATTCTTATACTATAAAATATATTTGTCATTAACAAAAGCAAATATTTACAATTAAAAATAAGAAAGAGCTCCGTATATGATAAGATTCAATTAATAATCTCATTATGAAAATTACTGTCGAATCAAAAATAAAACAAAACTTCTTACGTTGAATAATATTCAATACATCTTGAACAGATTTAACTTGTTGTTCTTTTCTATCACATACTTGAACAAGACCTTTTTGATCTTCTAATACACGTAAACGTTTTTTATTATTCAATAAATCAAAAACTTTGCCACAATATATTTCATAAAATGTAACAAATATTTCAATTGATGAACGATATTGTGGTAATGATAAACGATGAAATATATCACGAGCTGTTTGTGCATAAATTCCATGTGAATAATCTACTTTTGCTGATGATACATCACCACCCATTGTAAATGTTTTACCTAAATCAATTAGAAAAACGAAAATGAAAAGAATGCAAAAAGAAAATGTTCACTAACCAGAACCAGTTTGACCATATGCAAATACAGTTGCATTACCACCATTAAATATTGTATCAATCAATGGTGAAGCTGTATAACGATAGACAAGATCATTTGAAGCTCTCTCATCGAATGTATAATCAAATCTAAATAAATATTAAAGAATAATGTTAAATATTTTATTTATAATGAAATTTTCTTACTTAAATGTTTGATTATCAAGAAATTTAGTTAAATCAACTTTTGATTTAGGTACATGAACAAGACAATGATCTTTATTAGGTATTGTAATAACATCATTATCTTTTTTGGCTATTTCACGTTTATTTAATGGACGTTTTCGAATAGCTACACATATACGTAAATCTTTTTGATCAAATTTATGTTGATTCATATTCGAATTTGTTATTGGAGTATAAGTAAGTGTTGAACGATAATCAAGAATCATTTGTCCAAATGGACCATGTAGACCAATTGATGGTGGTGGTTCAGAAACAACTGTATTATGTGTAGTAGTTGTTGTTGATGTTTGTTGTACAACATGAAGACGAGAAAGACGACGCTCATTTTTATTATTAACTGGTACTGGAATTTGTAATTGTGGCTGTTGTTGTTGTTGTTCAACGGTAGGTGTCGGAGGTGGAACTGGAGAAGAAGGTGTAACTGTTTTTGTTGATGAAGAATTGATTTGAGTCGTAGGACGACGAATAGAACGAGCAGCAGTAGTATTATTTGTTCCGGAAGGTAAACAACTTGCTTTTGAATGTGTTGTACCTGCGATTGTACTAAAAATTGAATAAATATATGAAAATTTAATGAAAAATAAAACAACTAGTTGTCATACCCATTCAATGGTGGAGGTGGAAGAGGTGTTGAAGTTGTTTGAATAGACACCGGGTGTTGTTGAATTCTTTGTAATAATTGTGGTGGAAGTACTGGTGGTGGTCGAGAATTATATTCACGTTCTAATGAATCAATATCTAATGTTAATCGACTTGATGATAAACCATTCGATGGAACAGGAATAGCAGCTGTCGGTCGAACTTGTTGATTGACATTTGTTATGGATTGTTTTAATGATGTATTTGGTCGTAATTCATTATTCAATTCAAAAACAAGATCAAGTAAAATTTCTTTTCCTTTAACTTCACCCTGTTCATTCCATTCAACACCAACAGATTTTGATTCAGATGAAAGTTGTACTACTTTAGCTAAATGTATTCGACCATCAGATCGCTTAATTTTAATGGATGAAGAAATTTGAATTAAACCAAACAATGAATCCGTTGCTACAGACATTGTTTTGTTTTTTTTTTGGCTGTTATTATTTATACAAATGTCAATAAACCTAAAGAAATACAAACAAATAAGTTGAGTAATCTAATATTAATTTATTGGAAATAATTTCTTATTTCACTAACGAATCAATAGAAAGAAGAAGAAGAAGAAGAAAATACGTCATGAAACACCCTTTTTTTTTTATTTTTGAAGGAATAATGGCACCAACTGGTTGAGAGAAAAAAGAAAAGAAATGAGACGTAAAGACACTTACAACTCATAGTGTCAAACCAATTTTCATAGTTGGTTTTGTTTTTCTACTTTGATTGCTATGTGAATGTTATAGATGAGGATGACAACAAAGTATTTGTAGTTGTGGCTACTACACTCGACGAACGATGCCGAACATATGACTAACGACTGACTGAAGGAAAAAAAGAAATCCTAGTAGAGATGTTAAGCAAGGGAGAACGAGAAGGAAAAATAGAAGAGCAACGAATGACGACAATTGCGCGCTTTTGCTTACGTTCAACGATTTATTTCTCTCGTTCTATCAAAGAACGGCAAGAAGAAAAAAGAAACAACGACTTGTTGTTCGATGTTGACGTGGGTGACCTTTGTATGCTTATACATATATATACATATATATATTTGTATTTAGTAAGAGAGAAGAAAGGATTGATATAAATAACAAGAAAAAAATCTGGACATTCGAGGGGGACAGAAGAATGAGATTTGACTTTGTCAATAAAGTTGAAAAGAAACAAGAAAAAAGAGAATTTAAATTAAACATTGTATACCTGATTAACTTGATTCTTTTCGTGAGTAGGAGACATAGTTTTACATAGAAAATAAGATGATGATCACTAGGAACAAAATCAACTTTTCTTTGTATTTTTATTTGTCATGTAACTAAGTCATTGTCCATATAGAATATAAATGATAAGAAATCAAAATTAAAAAAAAAACCTATTTTCATTATTCATTCAGTCATGTGTGTATATGATTAAAAAAATTTTAAATGATATTTATAATAGTATACATCTTATCAAATGTCATTTTCAAATCAATCTTTTCATAGTCAATTAATATGAACACGTGAACGAATTCAATGATCCGTATATCTCTTCTGTATTAACAATAAATTCAACAATAGTGTATTAGATAATTAATATTTTTTTGTTTTTTTATTGCTTAAAGATATTGTAGAATTAAAATTTTGAAAATAAAAATTTCTTCTTTTTAGCTACCTAAAATGCACATAAATGTCAATACAGAAGAGTAAGATTATGTCTTTGTGATTTCTAAAATGTATAATACATTCAATATCAACTATTCTACATATTTTTTTATTATAATACAACGGAAAAATATAAACATTTTACCATTATATACTTATATTCATTGTGATATTGATTGTTAATCTTAGGTTTTGTAGTAAGACCTACTACTAAAACTTGCAAAAAAAATAAAATGTAAATATTGAATTATTTTTAAGCACGAAAAATTTATTGTGATACCATTATCCTAATTGTTAACATATCAATGATTATAAATAGACGTTAGCATTAGCAATATTTACCAACGCCTGAACATTTATTATTTCAACACAAAACTGAAATATATATGCATATCGAACTACCTCTAATAATTACATGACATCTTTTTATAAAAGCCGATATTAAATGGATATAAAAAATAAGATTAATATATGACATAGAACAAGTGATTTATAGAGAGATTGATATTTGAAAAAAGCATCGTTGAAATATGAAACGAAACGCATACAGTAAAGAATATAAAATATGTATGAGTTTAGATACTCAAAAGAACTGGCGTAATATTGTCGACAATTTTTATATTGATTGTATGACATACAGAATTATATTCATTATTCGAAGGACATCAAGAAAAAGCATGAGTAACGAAAAAACTGATTATTTAATAAATAAATACTTTCATACACAAATCTTCATACATGTCGATTAATTGAATCAACAATATAGACTTTTTTATTCTCACCAGAATTCTATTGTCAAATTTATACAAAAAAAATGTTTTGTAATCAATATGAATCAGTTTTGTTTTTGCAACAAAATCAGATCGTTATTGTATGAAGCAAAACACAGATAATATTTATAGAATTCATACTTCTCGAGATGCAATGCAGTTCGAGAGTACACTATAGACATATCTCTAAAGAATATATGAATTATGAAAACAAAAACGAATAACAAATGTGATTCTCGAATGTCTATCTGTAAATAGCTGGAATCATAATGACGTGATTAGAAAAACAGAATACAGTAAAAATTTAGCTCGATTTCATGAATACACAATACCAGTGTGTATACTTTATCTCGTGTTATTATTGAAAAAAAACCAAATATCGATTAGTTGGTTGCACAAGGTGTTTTTTTTTATCACAATCTCAAAGCTGACATTATTTATAACATGTCCGGTGACACTGAACATCAGCAAGTCGTTTTATCATTGATGGATGAAAGCGAAAAATCATCTGCGGGAAACATCAAACAAAACTTAAAAACGCGTCGTTCACGAAAGAATTATTGTTCTGAAAATTACATCGTAGGCTATGGTGTACCCGCTCTCATTATTATTTTAATCATTGTTCTCATTATCCTAATGTTTATTGCTATCCAAAGATTTAACCAAAATTGTTCACATACAAGAGGAGCATCATGTCGAGGAATATGGTGGTATTTCACTTAATAAGATCAAATATATGACTTTTTTTTTTGATTGTAACCACTATCGATATTTATCAAATTTTGTACAGACGATCTAGCCATTGGAGACATTTATAATTTGATTATCATAATTGAATGAAATGTAATTAATTACTTTTTTCAGTACAAATAAAATAAATTTGAATATAGATGTTGTATACATATTTTTATAAATATTCATAACGACAAATACAGAGTCCTATACACATTTTCATTGAATAAAAAAATTTTACATCTCTGTTATTTTTGGCAAATATTTAAAGTAAATATGCTGTTTGTATGTCATTTGTGAGCTCGAAATAAAATGGTTCTTTTTTTCATTTACGTTTTTTTCAATGGTACATCTGCATTATCCTTAAACCAAATTAAAATGAAAATCAAATGTTGTTTTCTCTAGGAAATGACTTATCTTATGATTAGATGACATAGACAGAATCGATATGGTTTTCCACTAGGATAAAAGTACTGGACGGATAGGTCTAGTTTACTTTACATTCCTGCTCTTAACACAAAAGGTCAATTCAACATTCTTATTTCCTATAGATCTGTCATTTTTTATAGGAAATCACATTTGGAATGTTTTTTGAAGAATCATTCTAATGTTTTGGATTCATAACATAAGTTGTTAATTTACATGAACACACTATAAAACCAAATCTTGTACATGAACTGATCAACTGTCAGTGTATCAGTAAAATATCGGTAGATTAGCTCGTCTGAAATTTGTACTGGTACGGTGCGGATGTAACGGTGAGGCTGGATATGACCTTTCAGCCACTCACTGCCTGCATTTCAGCAACAAAACCAACCTTTAAAAACATCAAAAAACGACTATTGTATTGAAGGGTATATCATTTGATATGCTACAACTATTGTTTTTATGATTAAGCGAATTATTTTCTTCTTTATTTTGACGCTTATTATTCTTCGTATGTGTAACTGAAACTGTGCACATACAAAAGAAACATCATATCGATGAATCCTATGATATTTTACAGTACACAAAGAAAATAAGTATTTGTAGTCGAACATAATAAATATTCCAAAGTAACACAATGAATTTCTTCGTCTTTGATTAAACTGCTCGAGAAATTTATCTGATGTGTTGATATTTAGTCGAGACAATATTCAATCATTGAAGATTATCATCATTATATGAATGTTTAATTAATTATTACCCTATCAAATCAAGAAAAATTTTTATATTTAACAAAATAAATTATGCTCCCGTAAGATTCGTCTAGTAAATACGTTGAAGATGATTTCACATAGAACTTTTTCCACGTTGCGATTCTCTTTGTTGATGAAGCGAGAGATATGAAATTCTAAATTTTAACTATTATTCGCTACTCATATGTAGTTTCTCATCATTCATGATGAATCTGTCTAGAAAATTAATGAATGAAACTACGTTTAGATTAAACGATCGAAATTCTGATTGAAAACTAATTTTTGATATAAACTTTTCTTGACGAATGTAAAATCACGTCTCTTGTTTACTTTTTTTTTTGCATAAGAAGAATTTATATTAATAATGTAACTGTTGACGAAAATGATTTCATATTCATCATTGAAAAATACGAAATATTTAAATCTTCCATATAAAAATAATATGAAGTTCATTTGAATAATGAAAACTATTTAGTGCATGTGTTTCAGTAAACTTTTACAATACTCATATTAAGTTAGATGATCTAGTAATAAATTATTTGGCAATATCACGGTTATTACAACTAATCTTATCATATACTGTTCAAATTGTACTTCTTTTTCTATTCATATTTAAAGAATCTATGATAATAATAGTGAAATTCAAATCATATTTCTTCTTCTGACCGATTTTATTTGGCAATAAAAACAACGAGAAAGAAAGAAAGCACGCAAAACTTGTTAATAGTATCACGTCATATTTTGATTACTCGTTGTCAACATTGGTTGTTAGTAATCCTAAAAAATAAATTAGATGTATTGCTTTAAATAGAAGAAGAAATCAAAACAAACCTTTAAATAAAGGTACTCGAACAAATGTAACCAATGTATAAAGTTTATGTGGTGAATCTTCATCTTCATTACGTTGTCGAGCTAAACGAACTCGAACACGATAAGGAACATGACTAAAATGAAAAGATTTTAAGAAGGAAATAAAACGAAAACAAAAAAAACAAACTTAATTCCTTGTGACCAAATTTCCTTATTTAATTTTGAATCTATACGAACATCAGGTGTTTTCATCATTTTTTCGGCAAACTTTTTCAATTCTTTAACTGCACGTGGTGCTCGCTTTTTGAAGGCTCTATTTGAAATTCAAAAAAAAAAAGAAGAATACTAATCGTTCATGAAACAAAACAAGACTAAACTTACACGCCATGCAATCGTTTATGTAAATTAACTGTATATTCACGAGTGACAACCTCATTAGTAATCTGTTTTTTGCTGCTGCCGCTTTCGCCTTTCTTCGTTTTAGTGCTCACCATTGTGGATTAGATACGTGATCTACAAAAAAGCGAATATCAATAACGGATATGTATAAACTAATATTTGATGCATTGTGGTAGACACAAACATAATGAAATGAGAAGAAATATATTTGAAACGAATGAAAAAAAGAAACAGCTTTTATGATAGGTCAATTAAATGATCAAATCCTCTCTATTCCATAGAAAACATTTTGATATGCCTCTCAATGATATTTGATTGATTGATCATGACATCTACAGAAAAGAATAGGATGTCTTTTGCATATGAAGATTAAACAGATAATATTATTTCATATTCATATCATCAAAATCCGCATAACTGGAAAAAAAAACACGAAAATTTGGTTTGAACAGAATAAAATCATTGTTAAAGCAAATATTCTAATCTTAGAACAATAAAGAAAAATATCTACAAGTTCACGAAGGAATGTTTGGATGTGTAAAGAAACTATCTAAATCCAAATCCACAGCCACATTCTTTTCTTGTCTCTTTCAAGATTTTAGAAGGTATCTCTATAGTGAAATCAATGTTATATAAATAAGATTAAAAAAATCCTGTGCTCAATAAAAATAGAATAAATAAAATGAAATGAGTTACAAATATTGTAAGTGCAATCTATAACCTCTTTCTTTAAGCTTGCTTTGCTTTCAGTTCAATTAATTTATTCAAAACCTCTCATATTGGTCGAATATATCTGTGAACATAATTTATATGACATCGTAAACCAAATGAGTTATGAGTTTTATTTGTTTTGAAGTTTATCAATATAATCGTTTTATGCTCTGTTAAGAAATGCTCTTCAAAACTATTCTTATGTCAAAAGCTGTTCAGTTAAAACACGTTTTTATATGTACTTCAAGTATTTTCTTGCAAAGAAAAATTGTTTAGTTAGTCGATAGATCGAACTACTGTTCTGGCCTTATTAGACGTGTGATTGAACCATTTCAATAAAAATTTTACTATGAATTGAAATCTTTCCATCTAGACGTTTACGTTGAACAATAGAAACAGTCTTATCAAACATTTTATATCTATAAAAGATTCTTGTTAATATACCGCTTCATAACAGTCTTCAATGTTGATGATTAGAACTCTATTTTGCAATGAAAGATCAGTACTGACAAGAAAAAAAAACGATGTTCTTTAAAAGAACAGACTTCTATGACTTTTGAAGCAGATTTTTCTCTATTATTAGTATGTCAGAACAGTTGTTATAGACATTTTCGAGAATCTTGATAAAAACAAAACATCAGTGTTTTATTCATTCGCCGCTATTCATTCTATGTAATATATGCCAATAAAATAAAAAGAATGATCCATTATTACCACCAGTCAGTTTTTTATTTTGTAAAATATTTTTTTGTCTTGAATTACAGAAGATGAAGATGCATATCGAAAAGTTATTCGACTTAAACTACGTTCGAATTGACGTGTATTATTAAAGATAATATTAGTCTATGTAAATCAAACAATATCTTTCATCATACAAATATCTATCAAACACACAGGGGATCTCTGTTGTTTATTTGTTAAAAGAGAGCAAAAAAAACGAACTAGATATACACTGAGGATAATTGATGAAAGCGGATGGTATGAAAGAATAATCGTTCAATTCAAATATTTAAATGAAGGCCAATTGTATCCATCAATTAATGGATCTTCAGGAAATGGTAAATTTTTCTTCACACTAAAACAATAAAAAAAATTCAAATTTCTTTTACAATATTGAATAATTATACAAGATAAATATATTTACCGATGCTGATACATATATTGATGACGAAGAATCTATAATAAAAAAATAAACAAAAAAGTAATCGAAATTTCTTTGATAGAATAATAATTTAATTACTCGTTTTTGGGCAAGTACACATTCTTTAACATCCTCTTTTTCATCTTCACATAAATAACGATGAGTACTTGGCATCTAAATTAATTATATTTTATCTTTATTGTTAATTTGAAAAAGATCTTTATAATAATTGTGTTTAAACGTACCATATGAGTACACATTCGATATTGTTTAAATACTTTAGCACATCCCATATCACCTAAACCCATAGCCCAAGGTTCAACAGCCATATTAAATGGTGAATAAAAAAGACCAATAGTTGGTGTTGGTTCAACAACTTTACTACGATACCAACGACGATGCCAACGAACAAATGGATTAATATTTTCTATTGGTTGAACATCTTTATTATAAACAAGTTTTTGTTCTTGTTCATCTGCTTGTCGATTACGAATAGCTGTTTCAGCTTCTTCTGAACCAGCATTTGGCATTGATCGACCAGCATCTGTATAATGACCTATGATACGCATCAATGCAGGCATTTGAGCAACATATGGACGTGTTGGATAGGAAAGATTAGCAGATAGAAGAGGAGTTTTTGGCTCACTCTTTTTAACTTCTTGCGTATCTTCAACCATATTTAATAATATTTATCTGAAACAAGTTAACAAAACAAAAGTTAACAATCAGAGATATATCTCTGAATTTATTAGGTTTTTTTTTTCTTTTATTAAAAATCATCCACTGACAATGTTTTAACACGATCTTTTCGACGATCAAATTTCTTTTTAACAATAGAAAGAAATTCATCAGTAGTCGGAGTTGATGAATCACCATTGATCATTTTCGCTTGACGTCTAAAACATTAATTAAAATGATTATTTTGATTAATACTTGTTTTGTAAATAAATATTTGCTTACTTTTTTGCTGGTGGACTTGTTGACGCATCTTCTTCCTCATCATCATCGTCTTCTTCTTCTTCTTCTTCTTCTTGCTCTTCTTGTTCTTCATCAATATCATCATGTTTTCTTTTCGTTTTTATTTGAAAAAGTTCTTCTTCTTCATCTTCATTATCATTAAATTCTTTTTCAATCATTGATTTGAAATTTTGTTTTGCAGCTACTTGTCGTTCAGGTCGAATTAAATCGGGTAATGATGTTCGACCTAATGTTGATATCTATCGAAGAAATATATCAAAAATAAAATATCTTATTTTGATATTAAATAACAACTAACTTTTTCTTTTTGTGCAATATCTTCTAAAACTTCACGTTGTCGTAATGATTTATATCGTTGAAAATGAACAACAAGTGGACTTGTTGTTACTTCTTGACGACTTTTTTCAAGCCAATTATCCTATTTATTTTTTAATCAAAAAGAAAATAAAATCTTAATAAATAATATGAATTTTTTTTTAAAATACCATTTGTTTTATATCTTTGACATTTAAACCTGTTTTTTGTCGTCGTTCTTCAATTAAATTAACATTTTCTTGTACTTTTTCTAATAAACCTCGAATAACTTTGACAAAATTTTGTACTTTGCATACTTTAATGAATTTTTTACATTTAAGTATTAATGGATAAACAAGTTCAGGAAATGTAACATGATGAGCATAATGAACAAGATAAAGCATAACAAGTTCATAAAATTGATCCATTAAACCATCCTAAATTAAAAAAATAAAAAAAATTGAATTTTATAAGAAAAAGATTATTGAAAAAAGAAAAAACAAACTTTATATGCTCGATCATCCATTTGTAATTTTGTTAATTTTAATGATGTATCAAAATTGATATATTGTGCTTTGAGAGAAGCTGTCTTATGACGTTTATTGAAATCAGTTATATCAAACATTTCAAGTAAAAATGGTAATACAGGTACAAATACAGCTGTTAATTGAGTCAATTTAATTAGAAGACGTATACAATGAAATCGTAATGGATAATAACGAGCTATTGGTACCAATCTATTCAACAACAAAAAAAAACCCAAATCATTATTCAATAACTCAAAAATTGAATCATTAAACTTTTAATCACTGTTGATTTTGGTCGAATGTATGGATTCAATTCAAAATAGACAAACAAGTTTCTATCATCAACAAATTGTTGATGAAGATCGAAATAGACATATCTAACTGCTTATCTAATACAAAGAATCTTAGCAACTAAATAAACTACATTATAGTCAAAGAATGTTTATAACTTTAATGCTCGATTTATTTTAGCAGTAAGAAAGTAGATAGGTTCTAAAAAAAATATATCGATTCTTCGAATAGAAACAATATGATGTGAAGATGAATATTCTGAAGATATTTTTCAAATTATCTTAGTTGAAAAAGATCTAAATTAGATTTTATCAATCAAACTATTGAAGAATAATCATGATCTATATCTTTATGAACAATAACGATGGCAAAATATTTTTCGAAATATTCAATTGCGACAACAGTTAATCAGAGATGGAATCGGTCTAAAATTTCTCAGACCGGACCGGACCGACCGGTCTACCGGCGAGCAGCTGGTCTAAAAGTCGTACCGATACCGAACCAGCCGGTAACCGGTACCGGTTCCATTTCTGCAGATAATCATAAAAAGATTTCTTTTTCTTTTTTTTATTTAACTAGCATAGATTTTCATTTCAATTCAATAAAATCTCAATTAAAATGATTTTTTTCATAATTGATTATACCTAATTGTACCGATAATAAGTTCTGTAAGTGGATGAACAAGTTGTTGAATTAATTTTTCTTTATTATCATATAAAACACCGATAACATTTGTCCATAAACTTAATGCATGAATAAATTGCCAATTATAAACACTTTGAATATTTTCCTAAATATAATATTTTCTTATGAAATTAAATTTCCAAAAAAAAAAGAAAAATACAAAAAGTTGTTTTATGTACCTGTTTTTTATTTTGAATAGCTGTACGTAAATAAACAGCAAGTTGTCGAAGAAAAACAAAACCATGTTGATATGTAACTGTTGGATCAAGTGAATAAAGTTCAACTAAAGATCTTTGCATAAAATTTATCAATGGAAGTGTTGTTGGTGATGTAAATTTGCAATTTTTTAAATAATCCAAATACATTTTCTATTTAAAAAAAGATATTGCATTGATATTGATTATTATTTAAGAAATTTATATATATATATATTTACTCGTAAAACAACACCAATCATTTCTTTTCGATGTTCATGTACTAAATGAAATAAACAAACAAATGAAATAACACGACTACGTTCATCTGATGATGTTGACCATATATTTATTAATTCCTAATTTAGAAATATAAATTAATTTTAAAAAGTTTTTTTTTTTTTCTTTTAATTTTATTTTACTTTAACAAGTGCTTGACGAGTATTAGGTAAAACAATAACAAATGGTATAAGAGAACGAACATGTCGAAGAAGAATATTCAATGTATTTGGAACATTAATCATTGATATGAGCTAAATTTATTAAATAGACTATAAAATAATATTATTTTAAAAATTAAACAAACTCGTGTAAAATGAAGTAAATATTTTTTCATAATATTTTCAATATATTTCCAATTAGAACTTGTTTCTGGTTTTAATTTACTTGTTGCAACAATTTTTATTCGAAGAAATCGATAGATAGCTGGTAATAATTGTTTAAGACATACACGAACAATTGCATTAAATGCTAAAAGAAAAGAAACAAAAAAAAAGAAAATTCTTTTGAAAAGTTGCATATAAAATTAATAATAAATCATACATTCTGGATCATCGATTGCACCCGTTGTTATTTGTTTCTTTTTCTTTATTTTTTTATCAATATCAGCTGATACATTATTACCACCATAAGCTGATTGTACAGCAAAACCAAAAGCTCGTATTACATGTCGAATAGTATTCAATGTTGGTTGACTTTTCTAAATATTAAATTAAAAAAAAAATTAAAAATCGAAGAATATTATGAAAATATTTTACTTGAAGTTGATTAGACCATTTTTCAATTGTTTCACTTGTAACTTGTTGTTGTTCTTCTTTACTTAATGGTTCACCATCTTCACCTTCCTTAATATAAAAAATTCAATTATTTTTTTTTTTGTAAACAAAATTCAAAAGATATACATCATCAGAGAATGGTTCCATTTCAACAAGTTGTTCAGGTAATTGATGAATTTGTTGTTCGGGATCATCATCCGGAATAGATTCATCATCGTCATCATTAAAATCAAGTAAATCAGCATCTTCTTTTTTTAAAAATTTATAGAATTCAGGATCAACTTTTGCTAAATCAGCTAAATCTTTTTTATGTTGTTCCGATGCTGATATTCCATTTTCTTTTGGTCTAAAATCATATAGAAAATATTTTGAATTCAAGAATAAATAATAACTTTTTTATTTACTTTTTGTTCTTTTTTATATCTTTTTTTATTGATTTTGTTGTTCGAGGTTTCATCTAAAAGAATATCTGATTGATTAATGATTATAGATCAATAGTGATCATCTACGCAAGTTTTGTTTTTGTTTTTCTTCTTTCAAAGTATAAATAAAAGTTTATATAAAGAAAAAAAAAGAAAAAGTTTTTGTTTTCATTATAATCTGACCTATGCACACATGAATTATACATATAAAAAAAGAAAAAGAAAATCACTGATATTAAGAAGAAAAATGGACGGAAAATTGTTGAAATGGTTGAAGATTATATTGAGCGATAGAAGCAAGTAACCATTCAGGTTTAACATAAGCTGTATATATATGATCTTTTCGTTTTATTTCATTGCACAATACAATTATTGTTGATGATTGATGTTGATTTAAATCATCAACAATTGTTCCACCACAAAGATAAATAAGTTCACGAAGTGTACGATTATCAGCTAATATAGCTTGACAACCATGTTGTTCAGGACATTCTAAACGGAATGCAATACTTTGAAAAAGACCTTGTGAACGAGGTATACGTGAACGAAGAAAACCACCATGATAACCATATGTTGGATCACCTAAAAATATTTCATAGATTTGTGATGGAACAATTATTTGATGTGTTAATGATGCAACAAGCCATTGAATACTAATTATTGGTAAATGACGAGCAGTTGCTTGAATTACTTTTAATGTTAATGGACAAACAAGTGGAGTATTCTCGTCTAATGAATCAGTTATTAAATGAGTTGTTGTTTCATCAACAATATTTGAATAACGAATATTAAATTGAGAAATAAATTGTTCAAAAATGATCTATATTAATATATATATATGTATATATTATCAAAGAAATAATGAAAATAATATTTATGATAGAAAAATTTAGTTCATTAAAAAAAAACAGTCAAATTCATAGTGAACTAGTTTTGAATGAACTCACAATTTTTTTTCTATTTATCTTTCTGAATTTTTTTTTTGTTCGTGAAAAGTTTGTCTATATTTATGTTTCTAAATTTTTAAATGTATTAAAATAGAACTATATACATGAAAAGTCAATTATCGCTTTGAATCAATGAAAATTGATCAATGCCAAAAAAAAATAAAAGAATATCAATTCATAACAGTGTTTAATCCTGGATTTTTTCTCCGGAGGGGCGATTTGAATTTCCGAGGGGGCGAAAAATTATTTTCGGGGAGGGAGGGGCAAGCCATGTATTCGTAGCACGATTATCACAAGTCTCGGGGGGGGGGGGGGGGGGGGCCGCCCTCGGGCACCCCTCTGGATAAAACACTGATTCATAAATTATTTATTGTTCTTCTAATTTTTTTGTTTCAATACCATATAGAAGTAAAATACTATTCGTATGTTAATTTCTTTCATTTAATGAAAAAAAAAATCAAAACTCTCGAAATATATTGTTTCATATACCTGTTGTTCAACTTTAAGACTAGATTTAGCAAGCACCATAGTAGATGGTGATGATTCTTCAACTGTCATTGTTTGTTTTGATACTTGTGTTGGTCGATTAATCTATTGAATGAATGACAAAAAAAAACAAACAACAAAATATTAATTATTTATATATAAATTACTAACATTTGGTAATTGAAGTTTAATACTTGTATCAACAAGAAATTGACGTGTTTTAACTAATTGTTCAACACATGTACATGTTGTTAAATCTCGACATACAACATGTTGTTCATATATAAAATCTGATTGATATTGAATACCAATAGAAACAGATTCATTATGTATTGATTCTGTTTGGACTAATTGATTTATTACTTCAATTGATTTTGTTTGACATTGTTTTTCATGAAGAATAGGTTGATATAATAAATCATCTGTTTGTGTATCAATTGATGTTGCTGTTGTTGTTGGTGGCATTTGAGGACTTTGTGGATGAATTGAATCGAAAATATTTGTTGAAATAGGTGATGCAGATTGAGGAGGAAGTGCAAATGTTATACGTGATGCTGTTTTAATTTTAACAGCTAAAAATCAAATTACAAAAAAAAAAAAATATTTTTAAGATTTAATATATATATATATACGTGAACTAGTTTGAACTGGTGCAACGATAATATCTTGATTTTCATTATTTGATCGTGTAAGAATTGGTGATGGTAATGTTGGTGGAATTTGTTGATGTGAACGAAGACTTTGAATTTTTTTACCAATTCTTTTATTATGTTCATTAATTTTTTTATAATTTTGATGAATTCCTAACGAAAAATTTTATATAAGGAAAAGAAAAAAACAAAATTAAAGAATATACCTGGTCCTTCAATATATAATTTTGATTGTTCAATAAGACGTGTTTCTTCATTTTCTTCATCAACAGTTGTACAACCATCTGAACTTCCAGCTGAAGATTTACCTAATATAAAACTTAACAATTAATTAAGACAAAAAAAAAAAAAACGATAAATTTAATATTTACCAATAGGTATTTTTGTAGTTCGTTTATTATTTAAAGCAGCAGTACGACGAAGTTTTTTCGAAGTATGTTCTTCAGATTGTTCTGATTTTGAAATAGTTGTTTTTCGTTTATTTCTATTTGATTTATTTTTTATTTTATATTCTTCATCATTATCTGTATCATCATCATCATTATCATCATTTTCTTGATTTATAATAGTTTTTCGATTTTTTGAACGATTTTTATTCGTTTTATTTGTTGATAATAATTTTTTATCTTTTTTATTCATTGCTTTAGTTAAATTAAGTAATTGCATATCTTCATATGTTTGATTTTTTTCTTTAAAAATTTGTTGAAGAGTTAAATTAGTTGCTGATCGTGTTGATGTTGTTGTTGATTGAATAGCTGGAGAACGACGAAGTGGTGTACTTGTTAAAAGCATTGTATCAATTAATGAAGGACGTGATAAATTACTATTAGTTATTGTTGATTGTAATGGTTTTTTTCTCATTGTTGATGATGGCATTATTAATTGCAAAAAAAATTAGAAAGAAAAAAAACTTTTTCTTTTTATTAGGATAACTTTAATAATTAAGATATAGAAGAAAAAATAAACAAGATTGTTAAATGGATAATTTAAATAACCAATGGAAATAGACAAACAGAGTGCAGTACTTTCTATTTAATATTAATCTTGAAGGTTTATTTTCTTCTCTGCCATATTGATAGTTGACATATTTTTTGCTATGTAGCTGACTTCAAATGTTTTTTTTTTGTTTTTAGATGAGTTTTAATATCGTATTAATATAATAATGGGTAATAAACCTGTAGCTAAACTTCGACCGAACGAATTAGAATATTTTCGTCAACGTACAAAATTTACCGATGCAGAAATTCGTATATAACAAAAAAAATTAAAATTAAAAAATAAATTTTTTTTTTTTTATTTATATTTATAGAAGATTGGTATAAATGTTTTTATAAAGATTGTCCAAGTGGAGTATTAACACTTGATGAATTTAAAAAAATTTATGCACAATTTTTTCCTGCAGGCGATTCTTCAATTTTTTCTGAATATGTTTTTAAACGTTTTGTTACAAATAATGATAAAAAAATATCATTTCAAGATTTTCTTATTGCATTAAGTATAACAGCAAAAGGAAATATAGATGAAAAACTTGATTGGACATTTGATCTTTATGATATAGATGGTGATGGATTTATATCAAAAGATGAAATGTACAATATTGTTGATGTAAGTTCATAAAAAAAAATAAATAAATATTGAATTTAATATTTATTAGATTTTTTAGTCAATCTATAAAATGATTGGTACTGTTATACAATTGCCCGATGATGAATCAACACCTCAGAAAAGAACGGATAAAGTAAAAAAAAAATGATGTTTTAATTCATTGAAAAAGTCAAAAAATTTTTTCTTCTAGATTTTTAGTACATTTGATATAGATCATGATGGAAAATTATCACGTGATGAATTTATTCATGGTGAAATTTATCTTTTTTTCTTTTTGAAAATATAAAATGATTAAATATATTTAAATTTTTAGGTGCCAAATTGGATCCGTCCATAATTAATTTATTGAATATTGAGAGAATTCCAACACCGACAGCAAATCCTATTCGTTCATCAGACAATACTCTATCATCAATCACTCGACTTCATACTTAATATTTTAATGCATTATTTGATTTTATTGTCTTCCATTTTTTTTGAAAAAAACAAAAAAAAAAACAAATCTCATTCCACACACACAAAAAAATGACACACGCGTACAAAGGATAAAAAATTCTTGTTGTTTTGTTTTTTTTTGTCAAATAATTATATATATATATAAAGAACAAATCAAATGAAATATTTATGTAGTTAGAGTAAACCTGGTTTTCCGATTAATGTTACTGTATTTCCGGAAAAAATTCCATATCGTGATAGTGGACGATCATCTGATAATGATTGTTGATGATGAAGACGTTGACCACGATAGTATATCAATTGATCATTAAGTGGTACACGAAATGTTTCGTCTAATGCTTTTCCAAGATCTTGACAAGTTGGTTCTTTTATTGTTTTTAATACAATATCTTGAACATCACCAGCATAATGTACTTGTAATTTTGTATATATATGATTACCAATTGCTCGTGTTGGTGGTAATGGAGTTTTTCGAAATGTTTGATCGTTCATTTTAATTTAAGAATTTTTTTTTTTCTAAATCGTATTTAAATATTAAAGAAAATATTTTCTGTATAATCGAAAAAAAAAAACAAAAATTAAAAACTTATGAAGTTTTATCGTTTAATTTTTTATTATTAGTAGTAAAATCTGTATGAGATTATTTGAATTGATTTGAAAAAGAAACAATTTAAAAGGATTATTATGAAGTGTAATCTTTTACCATCTATAGTGTCGTAAACATCTCTCAGTATTTATGTATATTCAAATTTCACGACTTCACCACAACAGTCGTGAGAACTTAACTTGACTACTGCACACAAGAGTAACTTAAACTTTTTTTTTCTTTCTTTTCTTCTCTTTCTTGATGACTGTTGTTAGTCTGTTGTCATAACAAATCAGTTTCGTTTTTTTTTTTTTATTTCTTCATTTATTCTTGATCAACTTTTTTTTGTAATTGACACATACACACACACACACATACATACATACATATACACTGACTGCTACAATAGTTGAAAGAATAAAGAACAAAACAAACTTTCAAGAAAGAAAGAATCACACATAACACACGAAAAAAGAAAACATAGAACAATATTAATGTCAAAATCACAGAACATATCACATAATTAAAACAAATTTGAATGGTTTCTTTCTTTTTTTTCATTCAATAGTAACAAGATAAGGACTTCCAGGCACATGCTCCATATTCGATCCATAAAGAATAACTAACATATATTGACCACGTATTTGAACTCGATAAGATACTTTATAAATATAAGATAGAGATGGTGACATTATACGTTTAACAACAAGACGTTCACATGATCCAAGAGACGAATAAAGACCAACTAAAAGTAAACCAGGACCTATATAATATAGAAAAATAGTTAAAATAAATAAATAGAATTGTGTTTTTTGTTTTTTTTTGTATATATATTAAAACCTGCTTGACTAGCATCAATTTTAAATGTTGCTTTTCGTCGTGGTTTACTTTCATAAAGACCTGTTCCAAAAACGCATACTTGTGATGCATCACCTGTCATTGATGAACGAAGAATATCAAGATCAACATGCGTTGTTGATCTTGTTGATGAACGTATTGGATTTATAACTGATTGAATAGGTATTAATGAATTACAACTTGTTGTTGTTGTTTGTGTTGTAGTTGCTGTTGTTGTTTCATTTCCAATATCATTTTCTTTTTCATACATTGTTGATAAAATTGTACGATTTTCATTGAGTTTATCTATAAAATATTATGAATTCAAATAAGTTCAGTTTTCTCTGAATAAAAAAACAAACTAACTATAAACACGACATATAAATGGACTGCCTTGAATATGTTTTCCACCATTTTTTATCGTAATTATATATTTACCACTTCGTATTGGTTTATAATGAAACTAAAAATGAATAAAAAGAAAATAATTTATCAATTTATCGATATATGAGAAGATATTAAAATAATTACTTCATAACCATGTTCAGTTTCATTTGCATCGAGAAAAACAGTCGATGGACCATTAATACCAACAGAAAAGGTTCCTGTTTCGGATGTTGAGTTGTTTGGTGATTTTGATACGAAAAATTGACTTGATTCACCTAGATCAAAGACAATGATTTTCTATTGTATTCTTCTCTTTTTTTTTCCTTCCTTCCTTCCTTCCTGTCTTTCATTTGGTTACAGAACGAAGAAATAGCAAAGAAAAAAAAAGAACTAGCGCTACGAGTAGGATTCGAACCTACGCGGGAAGATCCCATTGGATTTCTAGTCCAACGCCTTAACCACTCGGCCATCGCAGCTGCGCTCACCTGTGTACGCATGAAATAGACCTGGTCCACTAGCATTTATTGATTTCGTAGAAGATGATCGTACAATTAATCGATGTGGATTATTTAATATTGGTATATGATTAAGATGAACATTAAGCCAATAATTTCCACATATATTTGGTACAAAATATATTTCATAATATTCTAAAATAAATCATTTTTAAATATTCGTTCACATTATTTTTTTTTAACAAAATAAAGTCTATTGAATGATTTTATTCGAAAAAAAAAATCTAGGATAGAATTGATCAGTTCGCTCATAAAAAAAAAAACATTGTGTCATAGTTTTTTTCAATTCTTTCGATAAGTATATGTTATAATTAAGTAATCAATTACTATGATTTAAAAAATTTTATTTATTGATAATGTATCTATATAAATTATTGTAACAGGTTGTGTCAGAACATGCATTTATATATATAAATATATTTATTAAAATTCCCATTAGAAAATCTAATAGAGTATGTGCTTTATATTATTTTTGAATTTAATGATTTCGATAAAAACAATATAAAAAATGTCATGTATGGAAGTATTTTTGTTTTGTAGTGATATAATAAAAAATCTTCCGATGATTAGATATTACCGAACTAATTTTTGAAAATGCATTTACGATGATGAAGATGACAGTAGTAAATTTTTCTTTCAAAAAAAAAAAATTTCAAATAATTATTGCAAGTACTGACTCTTAAATAGAAGTTAGAGACGTTTCGAGAACTTGTACTATCAGAAGTTAGCTTCAGTATATTCTCTTTTGAATCAATTCAATGGATTTTTTTGCCAATAGTGTTTATTATTGTGATTGAACTGTTTTCTATATCGAATAAACTTTAGAATTTGAAATTGTTTATTTATGTAACTGATTAACAAACTATCGATCGTAGTTGACAAATGATTTATAAAAGTCTTGATTTTTCGTCAGTTAATTTTTTTTAGTAATTGTCATGGCTAACAAAAGTTTCACTTTGATTTTAAAATTGCAGAAGAGACAAGCGTAGTATAGAATAAGTTTAAATAATCAATATTAGAAGTAATTAGAGAAAAGATAAACAATTGTTAAGAATAAACGTTTTTCTATTATATTTAATAACTAAAACACATAGTTAAAACAACAACAATAATAATTATAGACAAAATTTATTTCTATCGAAAATCAACTCTTCTCTTTGTCTGTCGTGTTCATTGAAAAATTTCAGAAAGGATCCATTCGTCAAACAACAAGCACTCATAATTGATTCTGTTATTTATAAAAATTCGTTACGAAGCAACGCACAATATTTAACTTATTTTTGTCAAAGACGAACCTAAAATCAGCTGAATAATAATATGTTTCACGTCATTATTATTTGACTATATTCTAACGACAATATTGATCGTATGAAGTCAGCTTCACGAAAATTTATTTACATGTCAACTTTAACATATATGATTAAAGTGTCCTTGTTATACATAAGCCTATGGTTGAGTGCTGTCCAATCTAGTCCTATCCTGGTTACGTTACTATTGGCTTGATTACAAACAAATGATCAATCTACCTGATTTTGCTGATTTATGAACTGTAATTGGTAGATTAATATCTTTTTGTGGTGTTTGAATATAAGCTTGAAAAACAGCACATGGTACAGATGAACGAACAGTAACTATACATGGAGTATTGATCTAATATATTCATATAGAAAATAGATCAAGTATCGAGATCAAGAAAATTAACATACATAAAATTCCATAGGTTCAATAGTAGCATTAGGTGGATGATTGAAAGGTGGAACGACTTGTTCTTGTAATGGTTGAGCACGTAAACGTAAATGATAAGGTGAACCATCGATTTGTTCACCATCGTATGTTACTGATATATGATAATTACCTAAATATGATGTATATGATTTACGAAAGTTTTTATTATAGAATTCTTTTTAACCAGGTGTTTGACATATATAAAATACTCGATAGATGCCTGCATCAACAACTTCAATTTGTATATCAGCTTTTGATGGACCATCAATTGCAATAACAAGTTTTTGTAATTCAACATTAGGTGCATCCAAATCAAAATGACCTAAAATTTTTAAATAGTTTTAAGATATATATATAATATAACAAAGTATATACAAACAATTATCATTAGCAAAACCATCGGTAAGACCTGGACCAGTAGCTCGAATAGTTGGTCGTTGTTCTATACTTGATAATGGATTATCGTAGAGAAATGATGGTGGTGGTAAAGGAAATTCTTCTTCACATTTGTTATTAGTGTTAATTTGACTTTGTAAACGTGGTTGATTAATAAAAGATGATGATCTTTTCGTCGTTGATGAACACAATGGAGAATCTGTAAAGGAGTATTTTTCCTAGAGGTGAATTTAAATAAATTTTTACTGTTTAATTTTGGTGTTAATGGGTTTTCTGTTGTTTTGAGTAAACCTAAAACATAGAGACATATAAAAATAATGAAGAAAAAAATTGATTTTTACTATTGAGACGTCGTAATGGATTAGAAAAACTAAATGATGGTCGTGTATATATTGGTACTTCAGGTGTTTGATGACGCTCATTAAAACTTGCTATTGTACGTTTTGATACACGTCTTAGCAATTTATTCGATGAAATTGATTGTTGTTCATCACCACCATCATACATTTCTTCTGTTACTTCATCAGTTGTTGATACTGGTAAATCAATATCATCAACATGTACAATATATAATAATGTTTCGATATAAACTATATTAAAAAATATTAATTATTATACATTATTAAGTTGAACCTACTATTGCTTCCATCCTCGGTACTTTTACTACTTGAACTACTGCTTTTATTACTTAGACGATCAGTAGATTTTATGAATTTCTTATTTTTTGTATACGATTCATTATCATTAGTAGTAGTAATAGTATTGCGTAAGATCGATGAAACTCGACGAATTTTTGGTAACATTTCGTCAATGAATAGTAAGTATAAAATCTTGAAAGAGATCTTTAGTCTAGAAATTAAGAGTAAAACAAAGAATATCAATACAGTTATTCTGTTAAAATGGAATTAAATTCGATTTGACAAAAAGTGTTAATTATTGTCTAGAAAATCTTCAAGACACAAATCAATAGATGTATACTACGAAAATCTGTATTTTTCATGCGTAAATCTCGAAATGTGCCGAAATTGAGATTTTCATTTTAATTGGACTATTGTATTTTGGGTCTGTATTAGTCACTAAAGTAAATATAAAAGTATTTTCTTCAAATACTTTTTAATTAAAAATCAAATGGAATTTTAAATTAGAATTCTGAACAAAATCCATCTCTAAAGAGGGCGCTAACATACACGCATAGCTACGAAACCAAATGTCTAGGTTTAAATTTTTGATGAACATATTTCAACATTTTTTCTCTGGATAATTTATTCTTTCAATATCGTTCAGAGAAAAATATATAATTGAATAATTATTCTTGATAACGAAGACTGTTGCCATATCACGTACATGTCCGATGGTAGATAAATGCGTAGAGCAAAACATTTGATTCGAAATAGAGAATAATCTAAAACTTCCAACATTTATTTCAGTTAAATGGCGTCGGATAATAACAATTGGATTGCTGAAACTGTTGGCGATTTTATTCATTCATCAGTTTGGGCAGCTCCTATTTATACATTTATTGAAGCAAATTGTGCTGCTTTTGATTATGATGATGAAACTACAGAGGAAGATGATACAACATTATCATCATCTGTGGAAGAACAAATGAATATTCATCAACAATATCAACGTCTTGTTGATGCATTAATTGAAGGTCTTGGTAAAGATCTTGATTTAGATCAAGATGAATTAAAAAAAGTTTGTCAATTGCCAACATCTGGCGATGGAGCTGGTATAATTGATGAACCATATGAACAATTATATGCAGCAAGAGATTTTCAATTATTTCAAGAAATGATGAGAAGAAAAAATTTAATTCTTCAATTACAAGCACTTGTTACATTACAATTACAATGGGGTTTATTAAAACATAGTGAAACTGGTGATGATCTTGTTCTTTCACTTTTATTACAAGCTACATCATCACCAACACAACAAGGATTAGGTCATCTATCATCAGAAACTATGGAAAAACCACAATTACAAGACAATGAAGAAAAACATCATCGACATGATGTTGTTGATGAAGACGATGATGATGATGATGATGATGTTGTTGTTGTAAAACAAAAACAACCATCACCATCACGTAAGAAAAGAGAACCAAACGAACCAAAAAAACCATCTAAAGAAGAATATCGTTTGCCTGATGTTCGAGTTAAAGGTGGACCAGAACTTGATGCTAAATGGTATAGAGATCTTCAACAAAGAACTCAAAAGGTTTAAATTTAGAAAGTTTTAATTGTAACTTTTTGAAATATGATCTTTTCTTTTTATAGAGAGATGACAATGATGAAACAAAAGAAAATAATCAAACGAAAAAAACATCTACACCTCAAACCATTGGAGCTATTCCTGAAGAAGTACTTCGTGACAAATTACGTGAATTAACTGTTCGTACAACATCATCAGTCGATAATGAAACAGCAACTGCTATAGAATCACGTAAGAATTTTCTTCAACAACAACGTAATTTAATTGTAAATAAACAACGTGTTGAACGTACACGAGATTTGGAACAACAAACACCCAATCCTCGGCCACAGTCAGCTGCACATGTAGCACGTAAAGCTATAGCTACGACTACTAAAGCAGATGAAAATAAATCAGAACAACAACAACAACAACCTACGCAAATACCTGAAGATGAATTAATCAAACGACGAGCTATGGCTGCTAAACTTAAACGTGAAGTTGTAGACAAACGATGAATGTTTTTCATAAAATCTGCTATTTCTTTTATTATGACCGTTATTCGTTTCAATTTTTCTTTTTTTTTTAAATTGCACAAATTAAACTAAAGATCAAAATATTTCCAAATTATTTGAATCTGAATCCTATTTAAATCTATTATTTATATTCTTGAAGATGTAGTATTCAATTTTAATTTAAATAAAAATTTCATATAATGGATGTAAGCAAGGACTCAGTAATAGCTCCAAGATTTTCGCAGAGGGCGACGATTTCTAAAGGATACTTTCTAACGTAGTATCATTGCTTTTCACCATCAGTCGGATAATGTGCTCGCGTATATAAAGTTCTTCATACAATTTTTATAAGAATTCATAAGCAAAGCAAAAAAGTTAAGTCTCAATAAATATACATCATATCCAATTCATCAAATCTTTCTTCTGATATTTTTGTCCTTTTATCTTACTTCCGTTTTTTTTTGTAAAACTTATCTAAGAATACACGCTAGTGTGGGAAAGGACGCTAAATTGACATTAGACAAAGCATTCTTAAAAATAATAACTTCACATCATGTCATCAGTACATGCTTACAAATTATTCGAGAATATTGAATTGAAAGATGAAATCTTTCTCAGAAAACATTCGAAACTTCGAGGCAGATACTTCAATCTTTCTTAATTAGGTTTGAGTTGTAGTGCTGTTTTACTTCTGTATACTTCAAACGTTTGTTTATTTTTGAAGTAATTATCAATTAATGGGAGTCACAACTGATGCTCTTTTGATTCAATAGCTGTCATTCACTAACGAGCTTTACTCAGCATTGAAATTCCGCTTTGACACAATTGTAATTGACATCTTTTGACAAATTTCTTGCGTGTAAAATTTGAATTCTTTTGTACAAATACATGTTAGAAAGACTATCTAAAAGACTTCTCTATTACTTTAATGCATAATAGGTAGCGATTGTTGAACCTATCTTGCTACTAGATTCGCTATCTTGTGTGTTCATTACTAAATATATACTCGTAAAATTGATTGTTATTTTGACTATCTAATGACACATCATAAACTTCATTTGAAGAATAATATCGAATAATTGATCAAAATTTTTATTTACTTAACGATAGTATTCATAATATCCATATTAATTTTTTTCCTCTAATATAATTGTAATTGTTTTCTAATTTACTATTGATGAATGATATCTATTAATGTATGTTATTAAATAATTGATAAAAGATATACGATGTAATGTTTCAACATGGCTCATCTTTATTGTTATTATATCTAATTCTTGTATTAACTTTTGATAGATAATAATTAAAAGTGGACATGCAATAAGTGTCATTATAATGATAGTAATAAAAGACAAAATTGATTGTTCTGTTGTATCTCCATAGCCAACATTCAATAGAATTTGATAAACGAAATAAATATAGCGTGATGGAGCTAGAATTGTACGATGATCTATTGAATGAATTGTCATTGAACTTGAATCTGTTACATAGAGTATAATACCTATCCATATACACATGAATATCACAGTAGCTAGAAACAGAAGAAGATGAGAAATAACACGAAATGACGAACGACCATTATAATAAAGAAGATCAATCAAGTGACACATGTCTCTTAAACATAAACGTATAAGAAGTAAATGACGAAAAGCAAGTCCCATAATGAAATACCATGTGCCTAGAAGAATAAATCGATAATTGTTGAACTAATGACTTTTTTTTTCTCTTTTACATACCTGTATGTTTATAAGATAGTAAAGTAACAATAAAAGGTAATGAAGCAAAAATAACTTGCATAACAAAAACAGGACTTTGAAACGAAGCAATTATGACTAATAATTCACTTGATGATGATTTTTCTCTTATTTGAGTTCTCTCTTCCTCATGTTTATTGTGCATATTAAATTTGATTTTAAATAATATTTTATCGGAATATTGTTCATAAAACAAAGTCCATAACAGAATTAAACTAGTCAGAATATCTCCAATAAGTAGACTTATAAAACGATGGTGACATCGCCATAGAATCATTTCAAACATGCCCATCATACAAGAGATACATGATATGCAATCGATTATACATCGGCAAACACATTTCAGAATAACTAAACGAGAGAGAAGAGAAATTATTGAAGAAGATTGTAGATGATGTCCATATAATAAGTTTGAAATATCATCTGACTAAAAAAACAAGTTATATTGATACATACATATCAATTGCTTGTTTTCTTAAAAAAAAATATACCTGATAATATTCTAAAAGATTATAAAAAGCCAATTCTTCTTGAAAAAGTTTCTCAGACAACGAAATCATCAATGGACGTATTATTTTATTGGATGACTCAGATGATGTGTAGAAAGGTAAAATAATACGTTCAAATACATGTACATCACGTGAGAAAAAATAAGCATTTAGACTTGAACGCCAATATGTTTGGAGACGAATATGATCTGCTAAAAGTGTATTTGGATAGCGAACGAGATCATGGATACGAATCTTTTGTTTTTTTAAAGAAGAACAATCATCAGAAAAACAAAAATAGAATGAAACAAAGAAACACATACGTGAAATGGTTTGCCAAGAATATTGAATGATCGTTGTTCATCGTTCTCGCTATTTTCTTTTGGTTTACTAAGCATTATTAATAAATAATAATAAGCGCCATTTTATATTTAGTGTTGTTTTCAACTTTATTTTTCAAAGTAGCTATATGTTGAATTTCTTAAATGGCTAACACGATGAATACTATTCTAATAGAAATATTTTCTTAGTAAAAAATTAAGTTTACTTTTTTAAACTAAATGAAATATTTGTCTGAAAATCGTTCATCATAGAAAAGTAAAATCGTTTTTCACTAATAATCTTTTCTTTATCAAATTACCTTTCGAATCAATTTACATTCAAACTTTAAAATTCATAAACTTCATCTAACCATTGATAATAGACCATTTTAACTTACTAAGAGAATAAATGTTTGAGATCCGAAAAAGTTCTTCATTTTATACAAAGAAATTCCGTTAAATATTCCATTAATTATCAGAATAAAATTTCTTCGAATGCTATTGGTGCGAGCTAGCTCTTGTACTAAGAACTTTCTATTTTTCACACATCCATGAAATCAACTTCTGATATTAATAATATTTTCGTTGTTATCAATAAAAAAGGCAGTATCTTTCTCATTAATATATGAGCTTTTTTCTCATTAATTAAAAAGGAAAAAACTCTAAGCAAATTTATATTGACTATCTTATTCTACAGTTACATTTAGACGACAGCAATTTGGTTAGAGTAGTTGATTTTGATTTCTGCTGTGTGGAAAATGACTGCTGCTAGTCTACTGAACTGTTTCGTTCGATCTGACCGGTTTCGGTTAATAGCGATATCAGCAAGGAAGACAACCTATTGGTTGCAACACTGATATAAATGTCTCATCTTGATGAGATTGTGTTGGAAAATCTTTGAAGAAATTTTTTCTTCTCTTTCTCTTATTCAAAGTCTCTTGAAAAAGGACACCAAATTCTGACGTTTTGTTCTCAAGAATTGAATTAGAACTTGTCTGCACACATTTACTAAACAAACTTGTGAGTTTTCAAGAGAACAAAGTTTTAATCGAAAAGTAAAATCGGTTTCGTTTCGAAAAAAATCTGTGTTTGGTGATATGGACCATGCGAATTTTCTTGCCGTATGTTGAATCCAGAGTGTGGGGTGGGTATAGGTATTCTATAGAAAAAAAATCCTTACACCCACACCGTGCAGATATCTTATACGCGAATTTTACCTCCAATGTTTCTGGAGAAGTATGATGATAATGGACATAAAATTTTTGATGCTAAAATTTATATAAAGTTTTATCCCCATTACTTTTTTTCTGTTTAGAATTTCTTTGTTTTTTTTCTGAATGCTATTAGCGCTGAATTCTTTCATTTACTGAAGTGTGGGTCAAAAAAGAACCCTCAATCATCGATACTCACATCCTTTTTATTTGTATTTACTTTTTACGAAAAAGAAAAACGGCGAACACCAAAGAGAACAAGAAAAAAGGAAAAATGTAGAAGATTGAGTGCTTCAATTTTCGATCAGTGATAAATTAAACTAATTAAAGTTTTCAGTTGAATGAACGAAGATAGACCACGACAAATGATGTCTAGACGTAATTTAGATCAATGCCAAGTCAATCGAGCGACTCAGCGATACTTTGATCAACAAAACGAGCATTCGTCCACGTGCAAGAAACGACGAAGGTCGTTATGAATCGACAGCAAATATTTGTATTCATTGAGAAGCTGGAATGAAAACCTCAGCTAAGCAAGTGAATGCCTCATTGCAAAAGTCAAACTGATCATGAAGAGTCTTGCTAATTTCGTTGTTACACTTGTTGAAAACATGGTAATCACATGGTTGAATCCTTTATTATCGTCCACTGAATCATTGCATCACTAGGTAGAGGCAAACAACATTAATATGGATTCGCAATGAAAAATGAGACTTAAGATGAAAGGAGAAAGGTTCTAGAATATGTTTCATGGAAGGCAAAGAAAACTAATTCATGTTTAGGTTTTTTTTTTCTTTGAAACATTTTTCTTCAATCAAAAGATCCAATCATCCTTTGTGTCTACTGCATAGGCACGGATAGAGCTAGCTTTGAAAGAGTAGAAGTAAAACTCTAGTGTCTTTTTTCTGTTCATTCTTCACTGGTTATCCTTTTATTTTTGTGCTGATTTTTCTTTGTCTTCTGATTGAAAACATTTAAAAAAAATGAGACAGTAATTGCATCGTAAAAAACCACGACACTACAATATAGTATGTGAAGAGAAATAGACAAAAAAAAGACATGACGCATAATAAAGAAGTTCGTCCATTTCTTGAACTAGTATTTATTTTGACAAGATTTGAAATCGATAATACACTCCAATATAGACAGTAAGTAACTATCAACAACGAGTCAATGAATTCGACAAATGAAGATCAAAAACTAGGCATCCTCGTCCAAAACGGTATCTATATATGACATTTACCGCTCCACATGTTTCAGTATGTCGTCAGTCTGTGGTAATGCTTTCTGAAAATCATGTATAGATAAATTTTCGTCTTTACATGCTGTTTTGTTTTATTCAAACACTACAATCAGGCTAACAGGTTATCTTGGACGATGAATACGCACAACCCAGAGCAGCCAAAATGTCTCTATTGCTTCTCATTGCCTTCGCAAAGAAGACTGATAGCGATTTTATAGTCAAGTTTTTTCTCTAAGTACTTTCTGCTATTTTGTCAATGGCTACGGTACAAAAAACGGGTAAACTAGTTTAGCGCGTTTATGTTTTTTCTTTTCATATCCAGGTTAGCGTAATTGTTTAGATGAGGGTGACTGGATGAAAACAGGACCTTCATCCACACGCATATACTATCCTTATCATCAAATAAACGAATTGTAAAAGAGAGATAAGCATTATGAATCATTCTTGTTTTTATTCTGTAAACACAAGCGCCGAAAATAGTAGTAGGAATAACTAAAAAGAGCAGAAAAAAAATAATAAGTATAAGAAAATTTATTGTCATTAAAACGAATTCATTATCGAATAGCATTAGGATCAACTTCCAATTTTTTTAATCGTAGTTTTGCCGCTTCAGCTCGTGATTTGATAACCGGAATGAACAATATTCCTGTGATCCGAATAGCCGCTGGACATGTAATGCGCCATTCGATAGCTTGTAAATCGTCGCCCGGTTGTGCTTTATATGTACTTACAGTAGTTGGAAAAGGGTGAAATGCATCTTTCTTTACTCGACATTCTAGTACTGCTATCACGCGTTGATCGCCATAAGAAAAGGTTATAGCATAGACTGGATCTGAACAGTAATGTATGCTTGGACTAACAAATATTGCATTAGCAAAATCAGCAATACCAAAAGCTTCGACTCCTCGTGCAATATGATTATCAGGTGGACAGACACGAAAACCGTTAGAGACAACTGTGCTTGGCATTACGAGCCCATCCATGAGTATCGATCGAATAACATTAATAGAAGTACCATGATAGGCAATGTGCGGAAAAAGTTGCGGATCATAGTCACATATCTTAAGATATTGGCAAATCACAGGAGTTTCACGTGGTTGAAATTTCTCTCCAACAGCAGCTTCAATGAACATATCTGGTGGCAGACAAAGTGTGTTCGAAAAAAATTCGACATGACGTATCAAGGCATGCAGACCACCAATGCGAGGTAAACGATTATGTTGATTACTGTATGAAAACCAGTAGGCGGAGTTTGGCATCCACGTGTATAGTTTCACATTTGTTTCACCATTGACTGTTATAGTTGGCATATCATTTAGTTTGTCATTTTTATTAGTATAATTCGTTTGGAATAAACAAACACACTCAGGTAATTGAAAGTTGTCACGATCTGGTGCAAAAATATATTTTACATCAATTGAAATATTGTTATCAGCGCAACCAGGTGCAAAAGTAAATGACACATTTTTAATATTATACGTTTGTGTGTCTTTTGATTTAGCTTTAATTTGAAAAGATGCATCGCTACATTTTGAGTCAAACTTGCTGTGAAAAGCACGTAAGTTAGAACTGGCCAGTTCATTTCTCTGTGCATAACCACTATTCATATAGCGAGGAGAATTATAGGTTATGAGGCATATTGGTAAATCTACGAATCTCGAGTTCGCATAACGAGCACGACACACGGCTGATATTAATGTTGTAGTTTCACTTTCAAAATTTAAAGGGCTTCGAGCAATTGAAAACCATCGATATTTATCATGATATGGTTCTGGTATAGCCTTTATGAGATCACTAATCGTTGCGTCACAGTGTAATTGTACTTTTACCATTGGTTCATTCCCGAAACTCTTACCATCACCAAACAAGTGTACAGGAATGCACTTGTCAGAAGCTAAATTATTTCGATGTTCTTGTAAAAGTTTTTTTATTTCGTCACCTTTGGCTTCATCCAAAGCCGTAGCATTATATTGATTTTTGATACTAACATCAGCACCTCGAGACAACAATAACTGAACTGTAGATAAATGTCCATGAAATGCAGCACCATGCAATGGCGTACTACCTTTGCCTGGTATTTGTACATTTATATTTGCACCTTTGTCCAAAAGGCATTTTGCAACAGATGTTTGACCAAAGCGACATGCAATATAGAGTAAACTTGTACCCTGATTATCCACGGCATTAGACGATTTGCTATCAAAATGATAGTTAAACCACCAATTTATACCATCCTTAGCCATTTGAAACATATTCTTTTCACGCATTAGTCGAAATAAATCGGTAATTCGGGTACCATTAACTAGGCCCTCTTGTTCAGCTGTCATGCCCCATTTATTGATTAGAGTTGAGTTGGCACCTTGATTTAGAAGATATTCGACGATTGATGCATGTCCACCATACGCAGCAAGATGTAGAGCCGAATTCAAATTGATATCCACAATATCGACCGCAGCTGATTGTCGTTCGATGAACCATTTAGCAAGATCGAGATAACCCTTTTTGCATGCACAATGAAGTAATGTCTGTTGTTGAGCATGATATTGTGTATCAATATGTTTTAGAATATTCTTGATATTTTCTTTGAACCAATCAAGTTGATTAGTAGCTGCTTGAACAAAAGGCGTCTGTTTCAATTCAGCAAAAGTGTTTCGAACTTCATCATTAAAAGACTCTTTTTCGGCCACATTTCCGTGAGTATTTGTTAACTGATAATTGGCTCCACATTCTAGCAGACAGCGAACTATTTCAGGATGTCCATAGAATGCCGCTACATGCAAAGCTGTGCTTCCTGTTCGCTGTGGTCGATCTGGATCGGCACCTTGTTCAATCAAATAGCGTACAGCTTCAATATTGCAAGCACGTGCTGCACAATACAGCGGTGTATGGCCTGTTACTCGATCTTGTGCATTAATTTCTTTCAATGTCGCATATTGTAATCGTTGCCTTAATTCTAATGAAAGATCAGGTTCCGCTGCTAATTGTTGAAGTGTATATTTTGGTATCGCTAAATCAGAAATCCACTCTTGCCGCTCATCATAAAGCTTTCGTTTTTCATGATCGGATAATGTTTCATAAGCACGACAAATTTTTCGAAATTGTTCGACCGTAATCGTACGATTTTTAGCTGGTTTCTGTCGATCTGCTTTGAACTGATGAATTAGTCCACGGTATAAATTACGCAATTGGAAATCGTTACTCGTTTTAGTCGCTCCGAGAATGCTGTATGGTGTCGTAGCTGATGCAGCCATATTTTGTTGTTCTTTTTCCTCTGCTACGAATCGATCAGGTGTGTTGACGACTGAAGTAAAAATGACGTTTTCGTTGCTTTTGTTTTGCTCCTTCTTGCGTCTGTGGTGTCCTGTCCAATAAAGAGTTTCTTTTTCTTTCGATGCTTTTTCTTTTCACCTACATAAAACAGAGCGACATCTTCAAATGGAAGAAAGAAAAGTTGCATTTAGTATACAAATTTCATTTCGAAATTTAGACAACAATATTTGTGAGCGCGTTTTCCATCATTCTTTTTCAAATATTAATTGCTGAGTAGATATCCGCCACATACAGTAAACTAATGCCGGATTTTTTAAAAAGTACTAACGACCATTTTTCGAATACTTTTGACCATT